GGAGCAGTCTAGTTGATTGCAGTACCTACCCCAGCCCCATCTGAGCAGGATAAAGTCCTTTTCAAGCGAGCCAAACTTGCTAATGTGCTGCAAAGGCAAAAGGCCTTTGGTACTTCAAACACAGGAACCACATGCCACTTCCCAGGGAGAGTTTAGGAGATGAGATGTGGTATAAATCAAATTAATGCCAGAATAACCACAGCAGCTGCTGACTCCAGAGAACTGATTCAGATCCTCCCACTCTCCCAGCTCCGAGGCTGGCAGAGCTGAGTGCTCCAGTGGCCTGGCTGACCAAAAGCCCTGTCACGGATGCTCACACCAAACAGGTCTGTCTGCCTGCCGGCTGGCAGGGCAGGATTTCAATTTTGGGCCTGGCCAGTTAAGCTGGGGTTTTGTTTTGCCTTCCCCACTCCCCTGCCAGGCAGGAGATCATGGTACAACTGCCACGTTTGGTTTGCTCATTTGCAATTCTGGCTGGAGTTCAGAGCCCAGGAGATGGGAGGCCCTCACGCCTCCTGAATGGATTAGCCCCTCACGCTGCTGGGCATGGGGGACAGCCATTCCCAACTGGATTGTAAAGCACTGTCAGATATTGAAGGGTCTGGGGCTGCAAGAGAGGGTACTGCTTATTACCCTCTGGCTCTGGACAGAAGGAACAAAAAAACCTCTGATTTTTTTTTAATTTCAGAACTCACACAGCATCAAACCATACATTCAGCTTGCAAGTTCTGTGCCACTGTGGTATCCCTGAAGCAGCCCAGGCTGCCCCAGGCATCCTGCACACATACTGCAAGCAGACCAGATTGCCAGTGTGGTACAGTAATCAATTTGCCTCCCCACAATGTGACAGGCTATCATATAAAACCGGTAGTCTTTGCAAAGCCTAATGGTCAGCAAGTAGACAGTGGTTATGGGACATGCAGTATTCCCAGGCTCAAGCAATGGGAAAAGACAGAGCTGAGTGTTCTGGCTGGAGTGATACTAATAGTCACTGCGGGGAAATAAAGCTGATAAGCACAGACAGAGCGATGTGATGGTGGTTAAAGGTCAGGCCAAGGGGCTTGGGGGGCTTGTTACAGCTGAATGCTTCCCAGCCAGCATCCCTGCAGCCACTGTTTTCAGCAAAGCCAGCTACACTCACTGCAATTCAACTACAACCCATGAAAGAGGGGAGTAAATCCAGCCCTCGGGTCAAGTGCTGCCATGGCTCCAAACCTGTCCCTTCCACAGCCCCTGAGCACAGCGAGCCTGGCTGCCATGGCCAGCCTGGGCCAGCCCTGCCTGTCCTGCCCCACCTACTCAGGGCCAAGCCAAGGCACTGCCCCACACTCTTTTGTAATGCTGCCATTTCCAACTCTGCCTGTCCTCTTCCACCTCCACAGACGGCCACGTCCTGCCCTTCCTGTTTCACTCATCCGCCTCCTAAACATTGCCTAAAACTTCCCCTGACTGCTGAGAAGGGCCTGAACTCCTACAGGCTTTGGGAACGGCTGGTCACTGTCACGGGGACAAAAATGCTTTCATAATCCACATGTGGCATATGTACACACAGATATGCACACACTCCTTATCTCCATACCAGACCATGTCCAGCACTCCCTCCAGAGCCAGAAGAACCATCTCATGGATCAGACTCATGCTCATTTTCATGCATTTGGAATACATGTTATGCAATATCTTGTCATCTGTCCCCAAGCTGCCGCCTTCACAAATTTATTTTGCCTTGTTCCTTCAGCCAAACCATTTTCAACTGGCCTTAACTCCTCTGCAAAAGCACATCTGAGACACCAACCTCCCTGCTTGAGTTACTTGAGCCTGTCCCAAACACAGCATGAGAGGATACCACACTCTACACACATGCTGAGGCAGGAGGACTTCAGATAACAATCCTCAAATAGTTGAGAAAATGGCCAAGAAAGGAATGGGAAATTTAAGTTCTCAGTGCTGAAGCTGCTTACAGTCTCCCATGTCCAAATTATGGTGCAACTCTGCAGCAATTTGCACTCTGCTTCTAATTCTGACAATCTTGTGCCACCCCACACCTTCCTGTTGCAGAGCAGACTTCCACCTATGCCTCCTTCCCAAGTGCTTTACTTGAGCTTATCACAAAGATAAGCCAGAGCAGATGGCTGGGGTTAAAGACACAAAAGAGACAAAATATGTTTTCAGATAAGATTTGATCTGCAGCAGAAAACAGGACCAGGAAAACAGAGAGGCCCCAGAAAGGGTCTCACAGCATTAAGGAGTCAGACTCTTCGAGAGATGGACAGAGAGCAGAACACACAGGAGAGCTCAGGAGCAGAGACAAGAAAGCAGAGGAGACCACAGAACTCTGGATGGAGACTGTCAGCAGAGCAGCAGAACCAACAGCAGCAGCTGGCCTCCACCAGAACACATCTCGGGTTGCTTCTAAGGTAACTTCAATAAAAACAAGTGTCACAAGATGCAGGAAGGAAGAGGGAAAAACAAGGGAAGTTGTCTGTCAAAGTATAAAGGTTAGAGTTGCTTGTTTGTTTGTTGTGGCTCTTGATCTGTCCTGGAGAAAAAGAGAGGTATGTTTGGAGGAAGGCTATAAAACGCTACAGCACCCTGGCTGAGGAAATCACTCCAGCAGATCACAAGAGAACACAGGCAGAGATTGCCAGGAAAGGAAAACAGAGCAGTCATGACACTTGGACTCTCCACTGGAATAGTATGAAACATTCAGCTGTCTGCTTATGCAAAGCTGAGGGCAGATTTTCCAAGCACAGGTCTGGCTGGTCTAAGCCCCTTACCCCGACAATCACAAGTGGAGAGATAAAGAAAATAAAGGCAAAAAAAATGTAGAAAACCCAACTGCCAAACAGGCTCTTAACTTTTTTAAATACAAAGGGGCCTGTGAGGACAGGAGAAGGAGGAAGAACTATTTTTCTCCTCTGTCAGCTCAGCTCAGTCACTCACACAAACCTGCTCATTTCTCTAGACAGACTTGTTCAAACTGATTTAATACTGATTTCATCACAGGCCATGGAAGTTGTGTCCCTTGGAGCACAGTTTTGAGATATATATAGGGACGAAAGAGGAGGAAAAAAACCCAAAAAGCAAAAAGCAATGCCACCCGGATTTCACAGTCTTGAGATTAATAGCTGGAGCTTATTTTTTTTTTCCGCTTTAGAAGTGAAAAGGTCTTCCCCTCCCTCTTCCTGCCGCTTCCTGCCTATGGAAGACGATGCTCCGAAGCCCCAGCGAGCCGCGGGCCGGTACCGGGGGCAGCACGCGTGGTCCCTCCAGCCGGGGGCCGGCAGATCCGCGCCCCGCGGCTCCGAGCCCCGCAAGCCCTGCGCTCGGAGGGGCTCCGGCAGCGGCGCGCGAACCCGGATCTGGGGGGAAACACTCACCGCCGCTTGGCCGAGCTGCAATCTGCGTGAGCCGCGAAGCCCCGGGCGCGGGGTGGCGGGGTGGCAGGGACGCGGGGACGCGGGGATGCGGGACGCGGGGATGCGGGGATGCGGGACGCGGGGATCGGGCAGGGCGGCAGGGCTGGAGCGCGGAGCGGGCCCGGCGCGGCCCCGCGCACAATGTACCCGCCGGGCGGGCCCGGCCGCGCGTGGGACCGCGGGGGCGGGGCCGCCCGCCGCCGCCGCCACCAATCAGCGAGCGCTACTCCCGTGACGTATCGTCCCGCCACGCCCCCCGCGAGCGACTCGACCAATAAGAGGGCGGGAGGGCGGTTTGTGGGCGAGGGGGGCGGTTTGTCCCCGGGCTGAGGGCCGCCTTCCGCTGCGCCGGTCGCTGCGGGGCTCCCCGGGACAGCGGCCCGCGCTGCGCTGCGGCCGCCTCCGGAGCCAGCCCTGCCACCATCCCGTCCCCCTCTGCCCGGCTTTTGCCCCCGCGGGGTCCGGCCCGGCCCCCGCGTGTCCCGCAGCATGGGCACGCCGCGGGATGATGTCCCCTGCGCGTCGCTCACTCAGCACCGCACGCCCGCGCCTGTGGCGGCACAGGGGATGTCAGCAAAAGCCGGCTGAAATTCCGGCAGATGTGTGAAATGGCCGGGCTCGGCAGAATTTGGGTGCGTGGGGGGTGTGAAGGTCAGCAGGCCCGGGCTGCGTGAGGAACACCCGCGGGTCGCTGCCGGCATCTGCAAGGAGCGGAGGGGACGTGACAGCCTCAGCAACTGTGTGGGCTGAATCTGGAAAAAAACCCCGCTCCTTTAGAAACAATACCATTTTTCAAAGCAATAACATTTTCGCATAACACAAGAGCAGCTGGAAGCAGCCATGCTTCTGATCCCACCCGTGTTTTCCAACCCCAGGCACAGCAGGTAACTGCAGACCTGCCCTGTGGAATAATTTCACTGTGCCTTCCCTGGGGTTTGTGGAACGCTTCATCTACCAGAAACAAAAAGAAGCTGGAAGCTATCTTTGGTTTCACGAATTTTAAATACACAGAGGAGGCAGGGAAGAGCTGTTCACTATCGTCTCCCACGACCCCATTTCTCCAGGGCTCTACTCCCTATACACAGTCACAAATGTTCAGTAATTAGAGATAAGTGAAAAACTAACAGCTCTGTTAAACGTGTCTCCCCAGAAAATGGCTGGATGGGAATATCCAAAGTATGCTGAACTCACATACACTCAGGGATGCACTGGCTGAGGACTGTTCCTTCAACCCAGTAAAGGAAATCTCCCCAGTTTGCCCACTGAAGCTGCTACCACTGCTTCTCCCAGTGACAAACAGTGGTGACTCCATTGAAGTGCTGCCTGCTAACAATTTTATACAGTGTGGCCATGGGAGGAGGTTGGAAGGTTGCTGCTATGGGGATATATTGAAGCAGAAGTTCCTATAAGGACAAAATACAGTCCTTTCTTCACAGCTTGAGACATAAGGTCAGCTGCAGCTGGCACAGGCCGTGCATGGGTAAATAACAAAGTACACTGAAGATGTTGAACTGTATCGAATTCCTTTTTTTTTTTTTTTTTTTTTTTTTTTTTTTTTTTTTTTTTTTTTTTTTTTTTTTTTTCCAGGTCATTGCAGTTTAACTCTTAGGGTGCTGCTGCCTTCCCAGCCACAAGCCCAGCTACTCTTAGAGGCTGAAAACTGTCTCGGAGCCTGCTAATGACTTTAATGAGCTGCTCATGAAGACAACAAAGATTTGTGCAATAGGTGGGTGTGGTGCCATCCTGAATACACTTGTAAAACAACAAAAACATAAAAGACAAAACTGATTTTCCCTATTCCTTCTGTGTTCCACCCAGCTGTTTCTGAGTATGAAGGAGCTGGGGAGAAAAGCAAGGTCATATTTCTTAATTCCAAAGCATTTTCAGAGTGTTACTGCAAAATCCAAATGCTGTCCGAGCAAGCTGTGTGTGAACCCAGACTGTCTCTGCAGAATTCTGGCAGCTGCCTCTCCTGGGAGAACACAAAGCTCAGGAGAGTTCTCCCTGAAAAGACACTTCAAAACCATGATGTCTATCAGTAATCTCCACCCACCAGCTTCTGAGCTGGAGCTCTCACTTCTCTGTCTGGGGCAGAGTTAAACAGAGGGCAGTCCCAGGAAACTCTGCGGGAAACATCCTGTGCTGTAGCAGTGCACACATCTGGTGTTAAGATGCTCAGGCTGATGAGATTAGGATAAATATCCTAAACTAAGCTTTTGTTCCAAGGCAGATATGGCAGTGATGGGCACACCAGACACACAGACTGGCAACCTGCTCCTTGCTGTGAAGGAGATGCACAGCCAGACATCTGAGAAGGCAGGGGCATCACAATAGGAATGCTTAACAGAAAAGGAAAAAAACCCTGGCAGACATTTTAAAATGTTTTTAAATCTCTTCTTAAAGAGGATTTAAGAATGAGGCATATGTAGGGGAAAGAAGCTTAATTTATGATGAATGTTAATACCAGCTCCTTACATATGGTACTGGCCTTATGCGTCCCTGAGGGTTTTTGAGGGACTAGTGCTGTGGTTATGATTTCAGTGTACAGGGGAAGCTGTCTTGCATTATTAAACAAATCACACCCTGCATTGGCCTATGGTTTGATGTAAGTGATGCATAGTTGATGTCAGCCAGCTGGGGAGACAGGATTCTGCAACTTGTTGGCATTTTGAGAATAAGTTGGAAAACTGCTGACTGAGATCCCTTCATCAAGAACCATCAGAGTTTTTGGTTTGTTTTTTTTTAATTTGGGGGAAAAAAACCCCAAACCCGAAGTTTTAAATAATAGCATTTACCCTTTGGCTATATTTGTTTAGCATAACATTCATTATGATGGAAAATGTAAACATTTGCAAAGTTAAACATTTGATTTGACTACAGAAAACTATTCTGTTTGTTATAGAAATCAGCACTAATTGCCTGTTCCCATTAAATCCTCACTTTCCCAAAAAGGGAGAGTCAAAAGATTCACCCTAGGCAGAATTCACTAGCTGGCCTTACCCATTTATATCATAAAGCTGGATCTCCTGATGTAGCTGACTAAGTAGGTGATGTTCATTGAAGTAGGAGGGATAAAATCTGGCCCACAAACCACGCTGACTTCCTTGCATCTATTTCTGTTTTCCCCTGAATATTCCCATCCTACAACATCCTGCTCTCCAATGGGTTAAATAATAAAATTAGTGTTTTTTCCTCTAGGTCACTGTTTCCAGTCCATCACAGGTCATGCCACAACCAGCTAATGGCTGCTAAGTGGTCTGTGTGAAATTAGTTTAGTGGGTCTCCAGCCAGAAGCCAGTTGACAGATGCCCAAAAATCAGTTCTCCAGTTGGCTTCCTCATTGGCAGTCATGGCAGGTTGGTCAAGGCCATGCAAATTCAGCATTTCCCTGGGGCCAGGAACAGAGACAAGGTTGGTTGCAAACACTTTCCTCTCTTGTGAGTGCCAAAATTCTCTAGAGAAGGTCACAGCACAGTGCTGAGTGCCAGTGCCTGAGGACTTGCTGTCACCCCGAATTCAGCTCTCCAGGGAACTGGCAGTAGCAAAGGCAAGAAAAGCTGCTGAAGACTCCCTGCAGAGGCAGCCATGACATCAAGGAGAGGGTGCAAAGTGTCTGTGGGAGTCTTGGTGGAAGGTTTCACCCTTTTGCTTGTCCTGCACAGGAGGGCAAGCTACAGAGCTGCCAGTCAGACTAAACCAATTTAGCATTCCCTGCAGTAACAATATAAATCCAATCTCCCTCCCTCTCCGCCTTTTCCTCCTGATGCCAGATTTAAACAACCTCACTTTTTTGGCAACAGGAAACTTCACAATTAAATATAGAAGCAGAGCACACTTTGGGATGGAACTTCCAGCCAGGGAACAACAGATGGCATTGTTTGCTGGGCTGGAAAAGCTGCATCTGCTCCTAGAAGAAATGCTAATCGAGGCTTAATTAGGCATTCAGAGAGAACCGTGTCCCATCCCCAGGACAATGGCCATGTGTACATGATCCTGGAAAATACAGGGGAGAAGTTACAAAATCATCAAAAATCCTCACTGGACCAAGTCCAAATATGGCACATATGTGGTAGGGTATCCCAGAGACTTTCCCTGTGCTGAAATCCATCCAAGCCACTCAAAATAAAAATGTAGTTGTCAAAGACTTGTTTTATTTCATTTGCAATTGGTCAGTGATTTTGTTTTCAGTTTCAAAGCAAATCATTCCACCTAACACTGGAATCAGATCTGGCAGCTCTCTGACTCGCTGAGGTGTGGCAAGATTAAAGGGTAGCTGAGATCTTATACCAGGTACTGCAAATGGGGATAGAAGAGTTAGAAAGATCAAAAACAGGGTAATTGATCCCTCTATAGAAACATGAAGAAAAGAGGATGGTGGAAAATGTCCCCCAGTTCATTCCAACTGGGTGTTCAAGCACAAAAGGAGTCCCATGATGTGCAGTGCCTGTGCATGTCAGGACATTGTCCCTCCTTCCCTCCCTCAGCCCTGCCAGCTTCCTCCAGAGGAGCAGGCAGCAAGGCAGAGCTCTGTGCCTTTGTTTCATCCTCTTCTCTTTGGAGTATCAAAGCACCCCCTCAATCTGGAGCCAGCAGAGCTGTTTGCAAAACGAGACTGCCAAGTGTTTCACCAAGAGTCTGGCCCCAGCTGCCAATTGTGCCAGCACTGCAGAGATCCCCATTGTGCTGAGGCTTTGCTTTCAAACCCCCATCTTGTTTTAATGTCCTCTTTCTCCCCTGCCTGGCTCAAAGCAGCTCATCTGACCAGCCTGGTCCAGTGGGAGATGTCCCTGCTCATGGACTGGGTGATTTTTAAAGGTCTTTTCCAACCCAAGCTATTCCATGATTCCTTGTCCTAGCTTAGTGCCTGAGGCTACTCTGTGCACCTGGGCACTCCATATTCCCCCCAGGTGCCTGGGACAATGTGCACCTCACAGGCAATGCCAGCAGGGACCCCTCTTTTGCTGGTTGCATACCCTACTTCCAATAGCTCTGGAAAGATTCCACATGGGTGTTGTTTAACCCTTACGCCTAAAAAATGTTAATTAATAGGGATCTCTGCTGATTCCAAACAATGCTCTTCAAACATTGCTAAAAAATCACTGGAGATTAAAGGAATTTTGGAACAAGTGATTTAGAGATGCAGTAAAATGAAGAGTTTTCTTGGCACTGAGGCAATCTTCAGCAACTCCAGAGTGGTGAAGAGAAACATAAGAGTATTCTAAATCACTTCTGCCTTCAGCAGCATTCTGCTTCAAAGGGATGTCGGTCCTGATCTGGCACAAAGTTTTGGGCAACTAGAAGTTAAAATGGTTCTCCTGACTAAGGACATAGCTGCAGATGATAAAGCTGCAGACCCTGATCTCTCATTTCAGGGGTTCCTGTGCCCCACTCACCCCCACCACAGTTTTTATCCCCAGGGTTGGCTGTCTAGCTCTGAATAGCCTCCCATTTACTGTGAGTGTGCTCTGTATCCCATTAAACATCATGACGCCCATCATGTCTCTTTGAGAGAAACCTTGGAGGTTTGCTGACTGCCTGTAGCTCACTGACAGCAGATTTATTTCCACTTCTCCAGTGGTGCAAGTGGTGGCTGTGCCCTTGTATGTGCTGACCTGCAGCTGGCCTGCTCCCAAGCACTGCATCTCTGTGGTGTGTGGTGGGGAAGTCACTGACAGCAGGTTTTGGAGAAAGGCACCCATTGCAGGTGTCCATAGTCACAGAAATCAAGGTAGGCCAAGTGCAGAGGTGCTGCTCCCTCCTGGAGATGACACAAACCAAGCTCTTAGCAGTGAGCTGCATGAGTCAGGTCTTCCTGTACAATGCAGGTGGATGCATGGGTGTCCCCATTTTCCTTAGAGGTATATCAAAGAGCCATTCTCCAGCATTACCTTCTTGTGGTGAAGGATGAAATGTCTAAGGTGCCAGAGCTGCCATCCTCCTACTGTTCTTTGCCCTGTGGACTGGTAGGACTGGGAGGCCCAGCAGCCTGGTTGAAGGAGAGATGTCCTCACACCATGAGATTGAGATAAATAGGGCCATCCTGCCAGCACAAGCCTTGGACTCAGCTGACTGAAGCTGAAGAGAGTGCTGAAGCTCAAGGACATGACAAATGGCGAATGTGACAAGGTCTCAGCTTTCTAAGGACAGCTGGAGAGCTGGTCCCAGCTCATCCTCATGTAGCAGCACATGGGGCTCCAAGCAGGGCTGCTGCTGACCCACTGTGAAACTTCCCTTTGTTCATGGCAAGACACAGATTTTGGCCAGCTGCCTGGAGTTTAAATGTCTATGTTTTAGACCCAGACTTCCTTCTGAGAGGTTTCAGAGGGAAAAGAAAAAGCCCAGAAGTGCTTCTAAAACTCTAATTTATCCATCAATGGCCAGTTTTTCTGCAATGCCTTGAAACTGAGAAAGACAGAGAGGAAGTGTGACCGGGGAGCACAAGGAGCCTTTTGGCTGCCCTCTTTGGCTTGGGGGTATTGAGGGGAGCCAAGGGATTCCAGAGGAAGCAGCAAGCAGCTCCAGCTGGGAAGGGTCCTGACATCGTGTTAGAAGAGGACAGACAGCCTTGCTGTGACTCAGCTCCAGCACTGTGTCACTGCCTCCTACTCATTCCTAGGATCTGAAGTCTGTGTCCCTGGGCTGTCCACCTCCATGAGCCCAAACTCCTTTGTTTTGGCAGGGCTGAGTGCAGAAAATGAGAAGGTGATCCCAGGAGGCCCCCAGCAC